TGTTCTGTCGTCAGCAGAACCGCGCAGGTCCTCCGTGGCTGAACTCAGGCCGCCGTCGTGCTCGTGGGTGGTAGACTCGACCATGGTTTACTGTTGTTCTGCGTCCCCCCCTTTACCCTAAAAATTTACGGCCCGTAGACACAACGCGCATACGACAAATGACGAGACACGGCTACGACAGACCACAGTCTTCCTCGACTGAGAACATGACAAGTTCCTCAGGCGCCTTGACCAGGTCGTCGTTGTCTCGCTCGCTATCAGTGCGCTTTCGTTTCCGGGGAATCCCGCTAGACCCCACTACTTCCTCCGCGGCTTTCAACAACTCCGGGACCCTCTGGGGCTGCGGCACTCCGTCAATCCAATGCCTTGCCTCCGCGGCAGACACCCTGACTACACTCACTCCGCGCTGGAACCCAACAGGTTGCACATGTAGCGTGTTGTGTTCTTTCGCAACCACCTGGCACGGCGCTGACCACTTGTGGGCCTTCACGAAAACCGACGGCGACCCTCTATGAGTCTCCGGCGACCGCTCGTGTAACCTGTACAGCACCACGTCACCAACCGCGATGTCGCGCGCGTTTTCCCCAGTACCAAGCTCCTCTTCAGTCATCATGCCCGTCGACACATATTTCAGCATTGTCGGGAAACGCAACTCCAGAAGTGCGTCCACTCTCACAGCCTCCGGCCGCATTAAAGGCAACTCATTTGAGTACCTTGCGTCAGTTCCTATCAACGCCATCACTGGTGCTAGCCCTGTCGCTGGGTGAGGGATGTTGTTGTGCGCAAGCACAGCAGAACTCACAGCCTCGCGCAACTCCGAACCACTCCGAACATCCGCTCCATGCAAAGCCTTCGATATTCCACGGTGACTCGACTCGTTAACACCGTTCCCTTGCGGTCGGTATGGCGCAGTCACATATAACCTGCACTTCCAGCACTTCTGAACCAGGTCAAAGAAACTACTCCCCTTGAATTACAGTGCCCCCGTCCAACCAACAACCAGCTAGCGGTGCTCCGAA